CTTACTGTCTTGGCAGGTTGGATGCGACTGCTGCCCTGGTACTTTGCAGGTGACAACTCTTGCATTGCTAGATCCTTGCATATCATGAAATGACCAACTGAGCCTGAGAAGTTGAGACATGCAGGCTTAATGCCGTTATGGGTTGCTCATTGGAGGCGGGGGTCTGCTTTGACTCTGAGGTCTCAGTAATGAGGCCTAATGAAGTACAGGGAATGAGGAGATGAGTGGGGAAGTCGCGATGATTTCCAGATTCGTTGGCCTTAGTATGAGTGAAGAGATTATGAGTGGTGGCATTCGACTTTTTCGTGATGATGTCTTGGATAGGATGATAGATGGCAGGGTTGGTTGCCTGATTCCGTCGGATGAATCGGATGATATTGAAGCTCCATGTGCAGTTCTTTGCCCTTGATCCATGAGAATCAACACGAGATGTCTCAGTCAGTGACTTCACTCGGGATGGCAATGCTCACGGTCACTGACATCACGGAATATGTCATGGAGCCAACAGAGGTAGCAGATGAACAAGAGCCTCGAGGACGGCAACCGCCATCTATAAGAACCCCCGTCGACCACCTTGACTCTCGCTCCATCTCCATCTTCACCATCACACCGAATCCAGAACAAGCATCCTGCGAACCAAAGCCAACATGCACTTCAGCACCCCCCTCCTCACCCTCGCGGCCCTCATCCCGCTGGCCTCAGCCGTCGGCAACGCCGTCGTGACAAACAACTGCGCCGCCCCCGTCTACCTCTGGTCCGTCGGTGGCTCCGTCGGCCCCAAGCAGACCATCCAGCCGGGCAAGTCCTACTCCGAGGCCCTGCACCACGATCCCGCGTCCGGCGGCATCGCGCTCAAGATCACCCGTACCGACAACGGGCTCTACGACGGCAGCCCCCAGCTCAACTACGCGTATAGCCTCGACGGCCAGACCGTCTGGTACGACATGAGCGATGTCTTCGGGGATCCGTTCTCCGGGAGCGCGGTCGTCGTGAAGCCGGCTGATGCGACTTGTCCGGCCATTTGCTGGGCGAATGGGGTCCCGCCTGGTGGCAGTCAGGTGAAGAATTGTGGGGCGAACGGGGATATTGTGCTTACGCTTTGTGCGAAGAGTTGTTAGTTTGAGTTGGGTCTATTTGGGTTTAGGACTGAGACGGGGATAGGATGGGTTGATGATGGTGATCCGTGCGAAGGTGTTGTTGCTGGATTATGAGTTGGATTTCTTCATGGCATAATGGATAATGTTTGAATGAAGTATATTGCTCCTTCGGTAAGGGGTTCCACTTTGATAAAACAGACACCATGTATTCTCGTAGGAAGGTTGTGGCATGGGGCTTTGCGCAGTCTTGATGATGGATGCGTACTTGTTGATTTCCCTCAGTTTATGAAAGAGTGGAGGTATATCCGAAGAGTTCAAAGGATATCCAAGATGTTCCGGTAGCAGGTGAGAAGCGATTGTATATATCTATCCCATACGTTTACATCCTAAGGATTCATACCCCGGCCAAGGGCAACCTTCTCCATGGTAAACCCGCTTGACGATGTACTATCCCCATCCTCCACCACAAACACTGATGCCCCGGTATAGAACGCTTGACCTTCGACCTGAACAATAACTGCGTTGAGGTCCTCACCATCTACCCCGTCAATAGTCACTTCCTCCACGATCTCTGCGCTGAATGCCCCTGTCTCGAAATGATTCGACACCAAGGAGTTATACGCCCAGCGCTGACCAAGGGATCTTACCCTCTTTGCGTAAGCGAGCGCCATCCGTGCTGTCACACACGATCCCGTCGGCGATCGGTCGATCTGATTCTCTGCAAAGTAGCACAGACCTGTCTCTGTGCCTTGCACACCATCTGGTCGAAAACCAAGCGTGGAGTCCACGACCATCACCGAGTAGAGGAACGATAAGCGCTTGTCGTGCGGATGCTGAACCGCAGCCTGAACCTCAGGCTGCCTCATGAGATAAGGTTTGAGTTTCTGGATACGGCGCGTCATTGCATCGAGGTCAAGATCCCGCAAACCACCGCCGAAGCCGAGCTCGGTCGCCTGGACGACGGCATAGAATGCGCCGCCGTAGCTGACATCCAGCACGATGGAGTCTCTGCCGCTCAGCTCTGGCCATCGAATCTCTGGAGCAATGGGGACCGCCATCCGAATGCGTGTTGCAAACGCAGGCGTGGATAGGAAAGTCACCGGCCGCGACGGGTCGGATTTTCGCCCATCAGACATGACAGGGACCGTCACTCGCACCAGACCGCAGGGGGCGTGGATGTTCAATTTGACGGTCAGCGTGTCGGCTTCGAAGACAAGTTCCTCGCGGCGCGGAAATACAGTGTAGTCGTGCGTGTCGATGAGGAATCGACCCAGTGCAATGGTCGCGTGTCCGCACATGGTCGAGAACCCCTCGTTGTGGATGAAGAGGACCCCGATATGGGCGGCTCCGGACGAGACCAGCTCGGTCTCCGGGCGGATAATGGCGCCGTACATCCCGTCGTGGCCGCGGGGTTCGAGCATCAGTCGTTTGCGGATGTGATCGTGCTGCTGTTTGGCTTGGTCGCGTTGCTCGAGAAGAGTTCCTGAGAGTGTTGGGAAGCCGGAGTAGACGATGCGGGTGGGCTCTCCAGTGGTGTGCATGTCGATGCAGCGGATGGGCTGGCAGGAGCCGTTCTCTCCGAGAAATTGCGCTATATCCATGGCGATGGGTAATCTGGTACTTGTTAGTGGGTGATGTCTGAACTCGGACTCTGTGGTGACGGATCTACCTGATGGTACAGGTTCTCCGCAGTCATCAGTTCAATGTGGGGTATGCATATTACAATAACAAGTGTTCATTGTTGATGGAGCGGTTGGCCGTTGCTGTAAATGGTGCCTTGAATCTATCTTGAGCGAATTTCAATCAAAAACGCAGGTCGTGCTGAGTCCCATCTCTTCTGGACAGAAGATGACCAACCTTTGTTCAGACAAGCATACTGACTACACGGGGATCAGTCTCTGGTCTCCATATCAACTGTGGAGACGAAGACCTGGAGGAATCATCCCGGAAATAGCTCCTGCGTCAATCAAACTCTAGATGCATCAGGTCGTGTTGCTCCTGAGGGTTTGCCCATTGAGTAAGGCGTAAATCCATGGCTGATTACTCCACTTCATATATAGAGGCATAAACTGGGGTTGTGTGACAGTGTGACCGAGATGCATTGCATGGGCTCAAGTGCTGTGTAACAATTGAAGCCATGCTAAACAAATAATTACTATGTCTTTGTTCTCAAATCCTATTTGTCGTAGCAAGCACATGGGCTCTGCCTGGGAAATTCCCTGATCTGAAATTGGCCACAATTTTGTAAGCCCTGTGCTCCCAGATCGGTGTATATGCGACTAGCAGCGCATACTGTTTCCTCATGGATCAAACTGATTGTCGCAACGCGTTCCAGATCCCCAATTGTGGCTGTAGACCAAGAGATCCAGGATAACCATCACGAGTACAATGGCAAGCCCGGTATGAATCTATCCACGGAAATCTGCTCCAGGTTCGATCGATAGGGATCGTTCGCCACGAGCGTACCAACGACCGCGAAGCATATCGGCGAGTTTGAAGCTGTCATCAAATAGGCTTGAAGGGCAGGGGCAGCCTGGTAGGCAAGCCAAACTTTACGCTCACGGCCCTAGTAGGTGACATGTGGTGATTCAGGAGCCCTGCAAGGTCTCACGCGGGAAGTCTCTCTCGGACATAACAAAAGTCGATACCTCGGTGCGGATATTGGCCTGTGGTCAAGTCCAGATCGCGCTGCAATTTGCAATGGTCGAGTTCGTTGACGTTTGGACGGTCCACGAGCTATCAGATGGCGACAATCAAGGTCATATTCCCCAATAATGAGACTGAAAGGCGAAGAGCCGATAGTGCGATGGACTCGCTACTCCATTCACTTCGTGCCGCAGGTGTCTGTATCAATATAACGCCATGATCTTTTTTACAAACGCAGTACTTTCTTAGCTATTCCGCAGGGCAAACTATCTGGTGGACAGGGTTACTGTGGAAAATGTACTCGTTTTCAAAGTGTTTCACACTTGATAGCGGGCACAATCCAATTGATTGATCGAGTAGGTCAGACTGAGCTCAATTTCGACGACATGTGGATGTTCAATGTGCTTGGAGGTTAGGTCAGCGCCGCAAAGGATCTTGTCAACAATGTCATGCATCCAGGGAGGTGCAAAGAAGAGCGAGCAGTGGGCGAGTGCACCAGAAACAAACAGTCGATACTGTGATCCTCAAGCGCAGTCCATTGGCTGTGGATGTGAATGAAGCAGCTCCTCCCTAATGATCCAACCATCATCTGAGGTGCTGGTGAAAGGGATGAGGCCGTGAGGGTGATATGTTCACCGCCTGGTTGCCCGAGGCATCATGCCTCACCGCCTCCTGGATCAGGATGTCTCTCGTCAACCCTCATCATCCTCCTCATCACCGTTTTGGTTCTTCTCTTGTATCGATTATCATCTTCATCTGTGATTCTCATGATATACTCTCCATTTCTATTTCTAGTAGATGTCTTGCTTTCTTCCAATTTCAATTAAATTTGCATAGTTGCATGTACATATCCCTTATTCCATCCATAAATTCTCCGTACTGTCCCTCCTTTCTCCATCTTTTTGTCCTTGCATAGTCGCGCAATAGTTCAGTACCTAGCTCCGGGGCCACTGCTTTACCTCCGCCTGCAATTTACTAGCGGCTTTCCTTGGGCCAACCCTCACTTTTCGGATGCCTCCAAGGTCCTCTGCAGCTCTCCGTCTGTGGAACTCTAGAGGTTTCCTGTCTTTCCATCCTGGTCATCTTCGCTCCTTCTCGCTCGCGCCTTCTATCGCCTCTGCGGCGATTGCCCCTCATTTCTCCTCCTCTTCGCCACGTCTCCGCTTGAATTGCCCTCAGTCTCTGCTGTCACGCCTGCGGTCTCGTCACTCCTTTTCCCGGTCTACTTTCGCTCCTTTCTCTGCTGCAGCCGTCACCATGGGCTCCATAGAACGCGTTACGGAGCATTTGGAAAAGCCTGAGCTCGATGATCGCTCCTATCGGGTTATTCGTTTACCCAACAAACTGGAGGCGCTCTTAGTCCATGATCCTGAAACAGACAAGGCCAGCGCATCCGTCAATGTCAATGTGGGAAATTTTTCAGATGCAGATGATATGCCAGGAATGGCTCATGCTGTAGAGCATTTACTCTTCATGGGAACAAAAAAGGTAGGTTGCAAATAAACGTCTGTCGAATTTCAGGTTTCGTTCAGTGAAGTCCAAGTGACTAACTTTCCTCGCGATCTTGATAGTTCCCGAAAGAAAATGCCTACAATCAATATCTCGCCTCTCATTCTGGCTCATCGAATGCATACACAGCCGCTACTGAGACTAATTATTTTTTCGAGGTGTCTGCGACGGCTGAATCCGGAGATGAGAAGCCTAACGGCCAATCCTTGACCAACGGCACAGCCAACGGAACAGCCAACGGCGTCCATACGCCAGCGGAATCAGACACTTCCAAGCCCTCGTCCCCTTTACACGGAGCGCTCGATCGCTTCGCGCAGTTCTTTGTGTCTCCGCTTTTCCTGGAGTCTACTTTAGATCGCGAGCTGCGGGCGGTGGATTCGGAGAACAAGAAGAATCTTCAGAGTGATCTATGGCGCTTGATGCAGTTGAACAAATCATTGTCAAACCCGGCCCACCCTTATCACCACTTCTCGACCGGTAACCTCAAGACCCTGAAGGAGGACCCTCAGCAACGCGGCCTAGAAGTTCGCAGCGAGTTCATCAAGTTCTACGAGAAGCATTATTCAGCGAACCGAATGAGATTATGTGTGCTCGGCCGCGAGTCTTTGGATGAGCTTGAGAAATGGGTTGAGGAGCTGTTCTCAGAAGTGGAGAACAAGGATTTGCCACAAAATCGATGGGACGATATTCAACCCTGGAGGGACGAGGATTTGAGCATTCAAATCTTCGCTAAGCCGGTCATGGATACCCGCTCTTTGGACATTTACTTCCCGTTCCTGGATGAAGAGTCCCTCTACGAGTATCAGCCAAGTCGGTATATCAGTCACCTGATTGGCCACGAAGGACCCGGCAGCATCTTGGCTCATATTAAGGCGAAGGGATGGGCTAACGGGTTGTCTGCCGGCGTCATGCCCATCTGTCCCGGATCAGCCGCTTTCACTATCTCGATTCGTTTGACAAAAGAGGGATTGCAGCAGTACCGCGAGGTTGCCAAGGTGGTCTTCCAGTATATCGCGATGTTGAAGGAAAGGGAGCCGCAGCAGTGGGTTTTCGATGAGATGAAGAACTTGGCCGAGGTTGAATTCCGCTTCAAGCAGAAATCCCCTGCCAGTCGATTCACCAGTCGACTGAGCAGCGTCATGCAGAAGCCCCTTCCCAGGGAGTGGCTTCTCAGTGGTTCCCTTTTGCGCAAGTTCGACCCCGACCTTATCAAGAAGGCTTTGTCATACCTTCGGCCTGACAACTTCCGGCTGATAATTGTCTCTCAGGAGTTCCCGGGAGACTGGGACTCGAAGGAGAAGTGGTACGGCACCGAATACAGGGTTGAAAAAATACCCCAGGACTTCATGATCGACATCCGAAAAGCCTTGGCTACCACTCCGGAGACTAGACTGTCTGAACTCCATATGCCCCACAAGAACGAGTTCGTTCCAACTAGGCTCTCTGTGGAGAAGAAAGAGGTATCAGAGCCAGCAAAGACACCCAAACTCATTCGTCACGATGACCATGTGCGCCTCTGGTTCAAGAAAGATGACCGTTTCTGGGTACCCAAAGGCACCGTTCATATCACGCTCAGAAACCCGCTGGCGTGGGCCACCCCTGCGAACTTGGTGAAATCGAAGCTGTATTGCGAACTTGTCAAGGATGCTTTGGTGGAATACTCGTACGATGCTGAGCTTGCTGGGCTTGACTATCACCTCTCTGCCAGTGTCTTTGGATTGGACGTGTCTGTTGGAGGGTACAACGACAAGATGGCTGTCCTGCTGGAAAAAGTGTTTACGAGCATGCGTGACTTGGTTGTTGATCCGAATCGCTTTCACATCATAAAGGAACGTTTGTCTCGGGGATATCGCAATGCAGAGTATCAACAGCCGTTCTATCAGGTCGGTGATTATACCAGATATTTGACCTCTGAGAAGACATGGATCAACGAACAATACGCGGCTGAATTAGAGCATATCGAACCAAAGGATATCTCGAACTTCTTCCCCCAACTACTCAGCCAGAACCATATTGAGGTCCTAGCGCATGGCAACCTGTACAAGGAGGATGCGCTTAAGATGACAGACTTGGTGGAAAACATTCTGCAAAGCCGCCCTCTGCCCCAGTCCCAATGGCACGTGAGGCGAAACATTATCATCCCTCCTGGAAGCAATTATATCTATGAACGCACGCTCCGAGACCCTGCCAATATCAACCACTGCATTGAGTATTATGTTTACGTTGGAAGTATCAGAGATGATGTGCTCCGAGCAAAGCTTTTGCTGTTTGCACAGATGACAGATGAACCCGCTTTCGACCAACTTCGAAGCAAGGAACAGCTTGGGTATGTTGTCTGGAGTGGTGCACGCTATTCCGCTACCACCATTGGTTATCGAGTTATTATCCAGAGTGAACGTACGGCCGAGTATCTTGAGTCGCGTATCGATAACTTCCTCATTCAAACGGGGGAGACATTGGAGAATATGTCCGAGAAGGATTTCGAGGGTCACAAGCGAAGTGTGATCAACAAGAGACTGGAGAAACTCAAGAATCTGAGCTCGGAGACATCGCGATTCTGGAGTCACATCGGCTCGGAATATTTCGACTTCGTACAGAATGAAACCGATGCAGCCAACGTCAGGGCTTTGACTAAGGCTGATATTGTGGAATTTTATAAGCAGCTCATTGACCCTCGCTCACCCACCCGGGGTAAGCTTTCAATCTATCTAAATGCTCAAGGGGGTGCGCAAGCTAGAACAGTCGAAGGCGAAAAACAGCTGTCCCGGCTGGTGTCACTACTTGGAAAGCAAGTGGAGAGCGCCGGCTTTGCCGTGGATACGGGCCGCCTGAGCTCTGTATTTGAGAGCGCTGGTATCTCCGTTAGCAACGCAGATGAGATTCTCGCTGTCTTGAAGGAGTTCTTGAGCTCTGAGATGAGCTTATCGGAGCATCAGACCGCACCGGTGCTTGAGCAAGCCCGACAGAACATTGGTCTGCATGCAAAGCAACTTGGCATTGAAGCTGCCGACGAGGACTCTAAACTCGTGAGTAATGGTGTTGACAAGTCCGAGGCCGAGCGAAAGGTGACTTACATCACCAACGTGCCTGAGTTCAAGGCACGCCTGGCTATGAGCGCTGGACCTACCGCGGTCACAGATCTCAGCGAGTTTGAGGATTTTGACGCCAAGCTCTGATATTTCTAGAAGTATAGTGCGCAGGTGTTTGTCATAGATGTGTGATTTATTTCAACCTATACGCATTTGCTGGGTATGTAGCATATGGTTGGAGGCCGGCATTTCGGGGGTTCCTAGTGCTTCCAGGTTTGGTAGATGCAACCAAGAATCGGGCAATTGTATCAGGCTATACTATTCAATTTCAGGTCGCTAGATGATATTGAAGATGGTCCGATGAGATCGGGTTAGTGTATCCTAATCGTAGCTTCTCAAGCTCTCTACCCAGTATACCAGGACTTGATCGAGCACGACCTCCTAACCCACCGGCCACTCACAAAGAATTTCTTCTGGATGCTTCTATGGCAGCCCTTGTTCATTACAAATCAAGATCATATGGCTAGCAAGCAGTGCAAGAGCAAAGGCAGTCAGTTTTAGTGATGTTATCAGAGTGATCAACCTGGTTTTGAATATTCACTACCTTACTCAATCTGTAGGGCTACTCCGTATTCACCTCGGATATAAGAAGCTGCTCCAGGATTTCAAGGATGTTGATTGGGCACATCGTATAGGTAAGGTGCCTTACTACCTTGATAATGAGCACTGTAGTCTGTATCTTAGGTAACCCCAGAGAGGAGACGCAGATCGTGTAGTGATTGGCCGAGTCGTATTCCAGGGTTGATTTCAAATCCGATCATTCTATCATCTTCCTGTGTGGTAAACCACTTCAATTGGTTACATCGTGAACAATGGCTTCATCTCTTGCGATCAAATTGACGATTCAGGCATTTGATGTATGGAGATATCGCTCGATCAACGGACTTTGCACTTGGATCTTGTCCTAGTTATCGCGCAATTCTGACCGTCGAACGAAGTATAAATACCAAGCCGATTGACCTTCACCATGACGGATTCAATCCATCAACATCAACATCATCTTCTTCAGAATCCAGAACAGCTTCAGGCAATCCCTCTGATCGTCATACACAATGGCCAATTCTCACGCCCAGATAGTCTTTGGCGGCGGCACCTTCGGCGCTGCCCTTGACTGGTCCACACCGGAGAAGGTGGAAGAGTTCCTTCAAGTCCTCGAACGGAACAACATCAAGACTATCGACACGGCCCAGATCTACGGCACAAGCGAGGAACTTTTGGGGCAAACCAATGCCCCGAAGCGCTTCGTCATTGACACCAAGTTCGGCGGTGGCTTCATCCCCGGACCCTCCACCAAAGACGTGGTGATCAAAAGCGGCGATGAGAGTCTGCAAAAACTGGGCACGGATAGTGTAAGCTCGTTTCCATTTCTCATCTGAATTTCATTGCATGGACTGATCAAGACCATAGGTGAACGTTTACTATATTCACGCGCCGGATCGCCAGACCCCGCTCGAGGAAACCCTCGAGGGCATCAACGAGCTTCACAAGGCAGGCAAATTCAAGCAGTTCGGTCTGTCCAATTTCCGCGCGGACGAGGTGCAGGATGTCATCCGCGTCGCCAAGGAGAAGGGCTACGTCCTCCCTTCCGTGTACCAGGGTAACTACAACGCCATATCCCGCCGGATTGAGACGGAGTTACTGCCCGTCCTCCGGGAAAACAACATCCGCTTCCACGCGTACAGCCCCATTGCCGGTGGGTTCCTGACTAAGACGAAGGAGCAGATCCTCAATGGCGGCGAGGGCCGCTGGGATCCGAACAGTCTATTTGGTCAGGTCTATCATAAGCTGTACAATAACCCTGCGATGCTGGAGGCGCTGGATGACTGGGGTGAGATTGCGGCGGCGGAGGGAATCGCCAGGGCAGAGCTGGCTTATCGGTGGATCTTCTTCCACTCGCATATCCGCGAAGACCTAGGGGATGCGGTCTTGGTCGGTGCGACTAAGATCAGTCAGCTTGAGCAGACGCTCGCGGCCATCCAGAAGGGCCCTCTGGGTGCGGAGGCTGTAAAGCGGATCGATGCAGTTTGGGAGAAGATCAAGGATGTGGCTATTTTGGACAACTTTAATGCGTGATGGCGGCAGGCGATCGATTAGTTGACTTCGCATCCCCTCGACTCGATACAGCTCTTTGCACTTGCGAGGACAATAGAATCAATGAATTGAAGTGCTTCTTCTTCTCTTAGGAAGGCTCTCTGCTGTACTCTGGATTCTGCGTTGGTATGCTGTAGCAACGAGGAACCCTTGAATGGGATGATCTAATCCAACCCAAATTTGAAAGACCGTCTAGCATGAGTGTTTTCCCTGATTCGTCAATATCATCTTCTGTCCTTTACAGGGTCGTTTGTTAGACAATGACATGATAGCTGCCAATCTTGCGGACATTCCCCGATATAATAGTTCCTTTCAAATACATACCCAGGACAAGTCTGATCGACTGGTCGACATCGAAAGTTGTCTCACAAAGTTACGCTTGAGCAACGCCTCGGGATCCGGCCGAACGTTTTCGCGGGGCAGCTCCGATCTCCAACATAACAGAGCTTCGACTTGCGACAAGCACAGCTGCATCTGAACACCCCCAATTCCAAGGAACCTCTCGCCTGCTGGACCACAGAAAACAAATTTGGTTTCTGTTAGATTATACTGAGCTCAAGATGTCAACAACTACAGCGACAGCGATGCAAAGCTCTCATCCGTGAGTTCTCGCCTGAACCCTATCCGCTTTACACCTTGGGACTCTATCGCCTATCTTACTTTGCGCTTGTCTTTATACTGATACTGAATACTTTTATCAGACCTATCGTTCCCAAAGACTTCTCCGCACAGCAACCCAAGACTATCCGTTTATACCCCCTTTCTAATTACACATTTGGTACCAAGGAAACACAACCTGAAGAGGATCCCTCAGTCCTGGCTCGTTTGAAGCGTCTGGAGGAACATTACGAGAAACATGGCATGCGACGAACCTGCGAAGGTGTCCTTGTCTGCCACGAACACAACCACCCCCATGTTCTGATGCTGCAGATTGCAAATGCATTCTTCAAGTTGTACGTCGCGCTAGGTTTCGAGCTGGGCTAATGTCGAGAGCCACACCGAAACTGTTAACCAAACTCAGCGAAGGAAATCAAACTAATGCTTCGCGTGCTAAAGACCAGGTGACTATCTTCACTTCGAGGATGACGAGGTTGAAGGATTCAAGAAGCGACTGAACGAGCGTCTGGCGCCGGTCGGATCCCAATTCTCAGGGGAAGGCGTCAATGAAGACTGGGAAATCGGTGATACGCTTGCGCAGTGGTGGCGGCCAAATTTCGAGACCTTCATGTATCCTTTCCTCCCCGGACACGTTACGCGGCCCAAGGAGTGCAAGAAGTTGTACTTCATTCAGCTGCCTAAGAAGAGTAAGTTTGCAGATTTTCACTGGGGCCTTTTTGGGCTCTGTTGGAGAATGCTAACCAACCGCGACATGGTAGAGGTCCTCTCGGTCCCGAAGAACATGAAGCTGCTCGCCGTGCCGTTATTCGAGCTGTACGACAATACAGCGCGTTACGGCCCTCAACTCTCTGCCATTCCCCATTTGCTATCCCGCTATAACTTTGAGTTTGTGGATGAGAACGACAATGTTGTCGCAGCCACACCCGGGGCGCCTCTGCCCGAGCACCAGATCCCCCGGACCAAGGTTCTCGCAGGCGAAACCAACGACGGGCAGGACGCTGGTATGACGGACTACACCGAAGGTGGGGAGAATGGAGGGGAGAACGTGCAGTGATAACATTGAAGCTCCCCAACGGGTCCTGCAGCCCAATGAATGGTCCGGTATGTTGGCATAATATCTTTCTGGCTCCAGTTGTCTCTTGCACATCAAGCGTAGAAGCTGATTGGATTACAGTAGTGATACTACCTAAGACAGTAATTCCCCATCTTGCTTCGCCATCAAAGACAGATATGATTTTTTGATGTACATGGTCGGCGTTCCACGGAGCGAATCTATGCCTTTGTTTTTTCCTGTTTCTTCCCTTCTCTCGGCATTATGGATAATGTGCATTTCGAGCATTGATTGGTGGGTTTTGAGGATGCCCGTTAAAAGTCGAAATCAGGCTTGTCAGTAAATTATAGATGTTCGTATCTAGAAGAAAGCTGGATGGAATCCCGAAAGTACTTTGGACTAGGTCGCCTCGTGTACTCTAGTCCCACGTGGATACGACCTCACGACGTAGTGGCCCAAGGCTACAAGGCATGGTGTTGCATTGCATACGCGCGGCAAGTCAATTTTCTCGAGTCTCGGCTTCATGTGCTTCACGGCTCGTACATGGTCATGAGGACTGCTGAAAGTTAGTCTATATGCTGACACTATCTATGTTAGACAACAAGACTCAGCCTGCACTATGCATCCTTCGTGATGACATCTCGTGAGACAACACATATGGTTGGCCCTTCCCCTGCATATGGGCAAACAACCAGGAATCTTTCCATCATCCGGTTGCTATCTCATCCAATCGACCGTCCACACGGCCAACATGATTCCTCATATCACCGAGTAGGATGGGTTGGCCCGGAACTTGGCGTGAGACATTTCTTACTAGCCGCCAGCCATCTTTCTCGTCACCGTTTCAGAGCCAGGTACGCAGTTTATTGATTGATTCCTATTGCCGGAGGCCGGTCACCGATGGACTACATCCCTTGGAAAAAGACCACAACTCGACCAATCACTTCCCCATTGTCAAGCCTCGTTTACTGATCTTCGCGTTCTTCACACCTTTTTAGTCTTTAGAACGACTGGGGCTTCTGCAGACGGCGGGGATCCTTCTGGAAATGGTGGGGTACATGGGACGCTATTTTAGCACCATTGGCAGACGGAGTATACTACTTTCGATTTTTCATGGTGGGCGACGGGCCAACATCCTATTTGAGTCAGCGAGGAATGGAGAAATCCCCGAAGAATGTGTCAGTTTGTCCGAGAGAAGCGCCGCGCCGTGATTGCAATGTAGGCCGGTTGGTTGACTGGCTTATTGGGCCTACCCCGCCCTGGATTCTTCACGAGAAATGCCCTCAGCTGACGAACGAAGGCGGGATGAAGACTGGAGGGTGGAGAGTACGGCTATGAGTTCTTCTGTGGGCTCTGGCTGAGCATAAATTCTCCGGATTCCTGCTGATGGCTGAGGATGGGGATCCAGGTGCCGCATCGTCTTCTGGGAGCTTTCCGCGCAGAGTCTGCTTACTTTCTCTGAAAGGGTTATCTTGAGTAGAGGCTCGGCATCATGGTTCAGTTCAAGTCTGTCTGTACGCTGGCTGTCGCGGCGTTTGCTGCGCTGGGTGCTGCGGCGCCAGCAAGGCTGGCGGAGCGAGGTATGTCCGACGTTTCCTACAGATTGGGCTCAGTGTCTGGTGTTAACTACTATGAGTAGCTGTGTCTTCGTCGGTGCTGCAGGAGCTGTCATTGTTTGCGCAATACTCTGCTGCCTCTTATTGTACCAACAACATCAATTCCACGGGCACCAAGCTGACGTGCTCTGCTGGAAACTGTCCGCTGGTCGAGGCAGCCAACACCAAGACCCTTTCAGAGTTCTACGAGTAGGTCGATCCCATACATGAGTGGCTCACATATCTAACAGAGTTTCTAGTTCCTCCTCATTTGGAGACGTGGCAGGCTTCTTGGTTGCAGACACCACAAACAAGCTGCTTGTGGTGTCTTTCAGAGGAAGTCGCACGATAGACACCTGGATTGCGAACCTGGACTTTGGTCTGGACAGTATCAGCGATGTTTGCAGTGGATGCGCGGCACATGGGGGTTTCTGGAAATCCTGGGAAGTTGTTGCCAACGCGTTGACGACCGAAGTGAACTCTGCCCTTGCAGCTTACCCTGGCTATACCCTTGTCTTTACTGGACATAGCTTCGGCGCTGCTCTTGCAACACTGGGGGCTGCTACCTTGCGGAAAGCAGGGATCGCTGTTGAGCTGGTAAGTCATCCCTTATCAACTTATGTAAGGGCGTAATGGACTAACTGATTTCTGAAGTATGGGTACGGATCGCCCCGTGTTGGAAACAAGGCCTTGGCGACATTCATCACCGCGCAGGGTTCCAATTACCGTGTCACCCACACAAACGATATTGTCCCCAGACTCCCGCCCCGAGTCTTTGGCTTCAGCCACATTAGCCCGGAGTACTGGATCACGAGCGGCGACGATGCGACTGTCACGACGTCTGATATCACGGTCGTCCAGGGAATTGACTCAAGCGGTGGAAATGCGGGAGAGGATTCCACCAGTGTCGAGGCCCATAATTGGTATATCGGCCACATTGACGGCTGTCAATAAGCAGAGTATATAAACAGCTTTTGGATAGTATAAAAGAGCCAGGACAGCTTCAGGCTTAGGCTAATGAATAAGGAATGACATTGATGACCTATTTCCTGCCAATGCAACCAATTCTTATAATGGGGTGTATACTTCATAAGTTGTCCTCAATGATTGATTATGTCAATGGGTAGAAATAAACTGTAGATACTGATCTCTGGATCCACCGAGTGGAACTTTTTTTGTGGTTCTGGGGGAGTTTGTTTGGTTTGGACTTTGACCACCTGGAGTCTACGATTTATCCCCATCTCAATCAACTCGATCTGATTATCGGCTGGTGGGAGCTGGCTCGATGGGGTGCATTTTTACTGAATGCTCATTTGTTCGAATATAATATTAATTCTGTCATGATTTACGATCAGTAGCTCCCATCCCTTTTCGAACGTCTTTACGCAATAGAATCCACCCTTCCAACCCTGTGCACCTCCAACCAGCCGACTCTGCGCATTCTCAACATCTCTTCAACACGCCGCGATGGTCGCTGCCCCATGCTGCTGATACTCTTTCTGTCATCGGTAATAGCGGAATTGCCATAAAGCCCTCACTCCCAGGGGCTTTCACCTACGTCTTCCTGGCTTACCCGCAATCATGCTGTTCTTCGGCGGCGGAGTCCAGAGCCCGCGCCGTCGCGGTAAGGAAAAGGCAATCCTTGTGACAATCCTCATCGTCTACGCTCTATACTTTCTGTTCTTTTCGAAAAATCCCGGAGACCGAGAGTCAGCGGC